GGTGGATGTTCTGAAGGTTCTACAGGCGGTAGCTGCGGTGCATCCGGAGGTGGTGGCTTGGCCCTCGGGGGTTGCTCGGGGCTGCGTGGGTCGCTAGGGGTTGCCGCCGGCGGGCCATCCGCAGGAGGCTCTCCTGGTGGAGGCTGCGAGGGGGGATCCGCCTGCAAGGGGGGCAGCGGCAATGCAGGCGAAAATGGAAGCCCGACCGGATCGGGAGGCTGATGTGGAGAGGGAGCGCGGGGCAATGCCGGTGCCGGTACGGAGGGCAGGGACGGTGGCGGTAGCATCGGTGCCGACGGCAGGGACGGTGGCAGCGGCGCCGGTACGGAGGGCAGGGACGGTGGCGGCGGCGCCGGTACGGAGAGCAGTGATGGTGGCGGTAGCATCGGTGCCGAAGGGAGGGACGGTGGCGGCGGCGCCGGTACGGAGGGCAGGGACGGTGGCAGCGGCGCTGGTACGGAGGGCAGGGACGGTGGCGACAGCATCGGTGCCGAAGGGAGGGACGGTGGCGGCGGCGCCGGTACGGAGGGCAGGGACGGTGGCGGCGGCGCCGGTACGGAGGGCAGTGACGGTGGCGGCGGCGCCGGTACGGAGGGCAGTGATGGTGGCGACAGCATCGGTGCCGAAGGGAGGGACGGTGGCGGCGGCGCCGGTACGGAGGGCAGGGACGGTGGCGGCGGCGCCGGTACGGAGGGCAGGGACGGTGGCAGCGGCGCCGGTACGGAGGGCAGTGATGGTGGCGACAGCATCGGTGCCGAAGGGAGGGACGGTGGCGGCGGCGCCGGTACGGAGGGCAGGGACGGTGGCGGCGGCGCCGGTACGGAGGGCAGGGACGGTGGCGGCGGCGCCGGTACGGAGGGCAGTGATGGTGGCGGCGGCGCCGGTACGGAGGGCAGTGATGGTGGCGGTAGCATCGGTCCCGAAGGGAGGGCCGGTGGCGGCGGCACTGGTGCCAACGGCAGGGCCGGTGGCGGCGGCGCCGAGGGAAGGGCCGGTGTGCGCGGTGACAACAGCATGGGCGATTCTGCCGGCGGCAGCGGCAGCGGCACTACTGGTGCCGAGGGCAAGGGCGGTGGCTGCAGTATGGGCATAAATGGGCCTGGACCTTCCAAGGGTGGCGGGGACGCGTTCGTTGGACCTACCGGCTGCGTGGCTGAACCATCATCCGGCACGGAAGGGGGCTCATTCGGAGCAGGGGAGAACTGCGGCCAGCTCGGCACCGGCAGCGCTGGATGCAGCGGTGGAAGCGGTAGCTTGGGTGGCCAGTTCGGTGGGGGCTGTGCTGGAGTACGAGGAGCGCCAGGGATCTGCGCGTACGCTGGCACAGTGGCAGGTGCCATTGACTGAAGCAGATTACGCGATCCGCCAGTGGATACCTCCGGGGCATGCAAGGGAACTCCGTGCAATAACCCCAACAGCTCCTCCCCGGCCTCTCCCGTCGCCACAGACTGCGTGCTCGCACCCGACACTGCCGTACTTAGCGAGGCTGGCCCCGCCCCAGCAGCAGCAGCAGCCGCGGAGACCCAAGCCGCAAGCAGCATCGTGAACAAGTACAAGGGTCCCTGGACCCAAGAGCCCGCGGTCCGGGACCTGGACAGAGACCGGGCTTGCAGGTGCTGGCAGTGCGACGACCGCTGTCGATCACTGGAGACGTCCTGTGATGTCGTCGGTTGCTGGCGTTGCTCCGGGGCTGTAGCAGCGACTGGACTACAGCCGGGACAAAAATGGTAGGGTTGAGTGCGCCCCTCAGCCAGGCGGCCACCACATTTTGTTCCGGTGCCCAAATTGTTGCTGCTTCCGCTGAAGCCGCCGCCATGGCAACGGCTGCCGGCATGTCGGCATGTGCTGTGGTGGTATGCGCTAGACACATCACCTTTCTGCCACCTGTCATCCGCTGGTTTGCAGCTTAATACTCTTGCCAGGTTGCTGCAGCTGGGGGTACCGCAATTGTTGGCTGCGGGGCTGCCAGCGTCGCCGTGGGGCATAGGTGGCTTTTCGTGGACGCCACCGTTCGGCCAAACCCGGCAGCAGGCCTTCACATGGCGATCAGCCTCGTGAATCTGTGCTGGGCAGCTAGGTATAGTGCGCCCTGCAAGGGTACAGCAATCCAGTTGTAGAGCCGCGTCCTTTGTCCCGGGGTTGTCCAAGTCGATCATGTCCAGGTATAGCAACTTGGGCAGATACGTCCGCGCCGTGTCGTTGGATGCTGCCATGCTTGAGGAGTTGACTGTGCTGTGTAGGATTAGCCTGCCCCGGCACCCGCAACAGTGGTGCGGCGGAATTGCCATACGTGTGCCTTCGGTGGGACCGGATTTCTTAGGCCACAGGCATGAGAACCTAGAGTCCAGCCTGCAGTTTTGGGGAATTGTCATCAAAATCGGGTATGGCATAAGAAGTACGGACCGTGTCCAGAACAAGAGATCCTGCGACACACACCGCCAGGGTTTTGCGCAGTTGGTGCCGCCTAGTAGCAGCAGGGATGAAAATCCTTGAGCCTTCACGTAGCCGGGATGTGAAATGCTTAATTAAGTTATCAGACCTTCATGCTCGGTCAAATTAGTTCACGGAACTTGAACTACCACTGCCCAGCCGGCCCGGCCAGCCAGTAGAAATGATCATGCTCTAAGTTCCAGGAATAAAGCATTAAGCAATATAATGAGAGCCTCCTCGCGTACAGGTTTCCCATCGCAGGCGGCAGCCCGCCATCATCATGCGGTTCCGACGGCGACATCAGCCCCTTGGCCATAAGGGCACAATCATTTCATTTCTTTTTGATTACCTAACCAAGACTCACCATAATTTGTTGAAGTTTTGATCGCTATCCCAAGCATAAATACTTGTCGGTTTCCAAACGTTGAGCTGTTTGCAGAAGTGAGAGTGTTGCCATGTTTCCGAATATCAAGCAAATAACGCTAGCAGAAGCCTAATATCAGGCTCAGCATGAAGCGGCTATGCCTCCACCCTCAGATACATTCAAGTAGCCAATCAGAACGTGGTGTGCGTTTACATACCGTTGCATTCCGGCACTTTAAAGGGTACTAAGTAGGTAACCTTATATCAATACAAGATCTATACTCTTTATGTCACGCATCCCACAAGTGATAAAAGCGTGCATCTGCTAACTGTTTCCTAAGGCTATGTCAAGATGGCAAGCAAAAACTGACCGCCGTTGCGATCTTGTGAAAGCAGTTGTAGTCGGTCCACCGGTATTATACGTTCAACTCCGCATTGCACTGTACGGGGCCAACTTCCCATAGGCCGTATGCAGCCTGTGCCAGCTGTATCTGTATTTTAAGCAAGGTTTCTTTATGGCTAGAAGACACAGCTCACAGCAAACAAAAATACTATTTCCACGTGCGACATTGCTTTGGTAGCCTATACTGTCATGGGGACACTGTCATGGGTTGCCCGGCGAGGCCCAATATTTGGCAAATTTGCCAGTGACTCTACAAGGAACCAAACAAGCAACATCCTGCACCCCATTACTATCAATTGACAGGGCTGCCTGTCCGAACCGAGGATAGACCAGCAACATCCAAACATGCGCATAACCGCTCCGGAAGAAACCCGACGAGTCTGAAGCCAATCGTGCCATGCGCAGAGCTCAATATTGCGCATCACACTTCTTTTCTTTCTCAAATAATGTCGGCATCTTCTCTCGTGCCAACCGCTGCACATGGACACCTAATTTAATCCCCTACAAGCACCGATAGGTATAAAACCAAGCCCTATGTCAAGCTCGATAAGAACGCACATCACCGAGCTAGCATCATCCGGATAAAGTTATCGTAGATGACCTTTCCGGTGTTCTCCGGGTCCGCCTCCGCCATCATCTCGTTAATCTCCTCCGGGCTTAGCTTCTCACCAACGCTAGTCAACACGTGCTTTAATTCGCTTTTTGAGATAAAGCCTTGTCCAGCCTTGTCGAAAACCTGCGGATTGGTGCATGGGTGGTTCATATTGAAAAACCTTGTCGATTTAACGGTGTGCGTGCCGCTCGCACCATACGGAAACCTCTGCAGAAACCCAAAGGTACGGCGTTAGTGGATACGCCGGCTAGAGACCGCAAAGCCAGAGACGCAAGCCTATACACAACAAATGGGTTCTTCGTGTCCCTCAATGTCAATATCTGGCTAAATTGTTGTGTCTTTCCCCCGTGCTTGAACGGAAAGTGACAGCTTGGTTGTTGGAATTTGCATCCAAAATTCGCAACCACGCGGCAGATGGGTCACAGGTCACGCGACAGATGCAATGTGGTGACACAATATGGATGCAAGGCATAGCGCGAAATTCGCCCCGTGTGAACAACGAAAGGGCATGTCGATGAACAAAAGCAGCGTGTTGTACCTTGGCACACAGTATTGGAACGTAACGGGGACATGCCATTCCCCCCGTGGCCCCACAGCCTTCAACATCTGCAACGCTCTCTGGACATTCGCATTCCAGAAACACAAAGGACATTACTGGGGCTCAGTAATGCCAATGTCCAGAGAGCGTTGCTGATGTTGAAGGCTGTGGGGCCACCGGAGGAATGTCCTGTATTGCATACATACGTGAGCATGGGGCACGCATTGGCTCCGCACCGGACGAAGCACGTACCCAGAGCGACACCCACCTTCCAGGCAGCCTTCAGGTCCTGCTCATTGTCATACTCTCGTATATCCCGGGTCATGATCTTTTCAAACTCCTTATAGTCAACTACGCCGCGGTTGTCCGGGTCAATGTCCTTAACGATCGTCTTAATCTCTGCCTCTGTTGGCGATTTTCCCAGGGCGCGCAGCACTGTCCCTAGCTCCTTTGTGGTAATGAAGCCTGTCGAGGAGAAAAGCGACATGCCACTGTTTTCGCTTTCCCGCCTAGAGAGATAAGTCCATGACAAGCTCAGCTTTTGTAAACCTTTGTTACTCACCGTCCCCATCGCTATCAAACCTGGCAATTTAAAAAGATTCAAACACAGAGCGACCAGTTATGAGTTAAGAAGCGTTCAAACTGAATCAAAGCCGTCCTCAAGGCACGCTTACAAAGTGAAGGCCTCCTTATACTCCGCATAGCGTTCCTCGGCCATTATGAAGGCGTAGACAACAGCGCTGCTGGTAGTTCGTCAAATCTAGGGTGACCACAGGGCCGAGTTTGGCTTTGCTAATGTATCAATACGATGCAATAATAGGGACAGGGGTTGGAGACGTGAAATAAGAAAACTGTAAAAGCTGTAAGCTTCCAAATTGCAATACATTTGCCACAGGACACCAGTACATGAATTGATGCACGACAGCCTGTAACGACGGCTCCACGAATCAGGACTACTTCACGTTTGCATCGATGTGACTATGCTCATGCTGTGCTGTTCATGGTTGATCGTGCCGGAAAAATAATCGATTCATCGGCGTATCGTATTGCGCTGAAGGTTCGGGCCACCGAAGCCGTCGGCTGCACAGTTGCAGCGCAGCCAGAGCTGAAGATGCGTGGTCACAGTCGATGAAACAACACCGGTTGTTTACGCGCTTGCATACATAGACAGGCAGAGCTGCCGCTTTCCCTAGTTGCCGTGTGAGCAGCCTAGCTGGAAAGGACAATCTACGTATTCATCCGGGCGCGTGGAGAGGAAGTCTGTGCATCACCACCGACCGGGGCGTGTTACGTTGTTGGCAGGGGGCTCCCTGCATACCGTGCCGTCGCGGACGTCGAGCAGGCAACTGGGGAAGTGACAGGTCATTTCTGGCACCTGACAAAACCCCTCGATTATCCCTTCAACCACCTGGCGCAGCACCCTGCCAACGGCGGCTTCAACAATGCCTGCACGCGAAGTCGCCGGAACGCCGTTTACCACCGGAGCCATGGAGCGCTCTTGTCACAGATGTGGCGCATCAGTAGCTGCCGCGGGCCTCGGTCGCGTCCACACTCGCCCGTCCAAGGCGATGGCTTCGGCCACACGCTACGAGCAGCCGTCTGGGCGTGAACCCCAGCAGCCGCTTCCTGCGCATCCACCAACATCCCCCACAGCCGAGCAGGCGCAGCAGTACCAACGAACCATGCAGGAGTTGCTGCAAAGGCAAAGACAGGAAAGGCTGGAGCGCCAGACCGCCGCTCAGCCCGCAGCGGTGATGGCGGCCGCCAGGTCAGCTGCAGCATGGGTGCCGGCCGTACCATCGGAGTTGATACCGCCGAAGCAGCTCCCGCAGGCCTCATCCCCGGTGCCAGCACCAGCGGCGCCGGCAGCTTCATTACCACCATCGGCGGCTGCTGAGCCTGTGCGAGCCGCAATTATGCCTACACCTCAACCCGGTTCAACTGTACAGTCGCCGCTGTGGCCAGGACAGGGACTAGCGCCGGGAATCGCTGGGGATGTGGGTCAACTGGGCTCGGCAGCGGCTCCGCCTGCCTCACCCCCCCCTGTCACCCTCTACTGGCCGGGAGGCCCTATCCAAGCCCACCTAGCGCCCTCACAGATCACACTGTCGCAGCCGCAGCCGCAGCCGAAGTCAGGGCTTGCTCAACAATCCCCACAGCAGCTGCAGCACAGACAGCCATACCAGCAGGCGCCAGATCCCGAGCAGGAGTCGGCGCCGCGGCGGCGAGGCAGAAGGGAGCCGCCGGTGCGAAAGCCCTTGCCGAACCTGCTGGGGACCGTCAGCACACCCATGCCCAAGGACAAGGCCGCGAACTCGACGGGCACTAGCCCCGACATCCTGCCACTCGGTCCGCGGTATGGGCTCACAAACAGCAGCGGCATGAGCGGGGGCATTGTGGGAAGCACCAAGAGCGCAAAATCCTCATTTGGGACGCCGGCACTGCCATCTCGGGCCAGCTGGCCAGGCTCGGCCTCAGCGTCGTATGACAGTACGCCGTCCGGGTACGGCAGTACATCACCGCCTACGTACGGCGGTAAGGACAATTGGCAGGGCGGCGTGCGTGACGACCGGGGCCCTTCGGCATCGCCGCCAGCGCCGAAGGGCGCCGGTCAGCCCCCCATGGCGCAGCGCGGCCCTCTTAATTTAAACCCCAATATGCAGTACGGATCTCCTATGACATCCGTACAGCACCCGTCTGTCGGCGCCGCTGGCACGTTCCCTGTGGCGCCTGGTGGCTCCAGCGGGATTGTAGTGTCTTCTACGGCTGCAGCTGGGACAGGGAGCGCACCACCCAAGCTCACCCCAACGGCTGGTGCCGCCGCAACCGCAGCTGGACCTGCATCAGGCGCCGGGTCAGGCGCGGGGGCGGCAGACGCGCCAGGGGCTACGGCAAAAAGGAAGCCCGCTAGATCTGCGGCGCTGTGGTTGTCATCTTTCGTGCAGGCTTCAGGGCGAGCTGGCGGGAGTGGTACGGCGCCAACAGCCGCCGCCAGCGGCGCAGCGGCGGCTACGAAACCGCCGGTGGCGGATGCGGGAGCTGTGGCTGCAGCGATGGTGCGCGCGGCGACGGAGCAGCCCGCTGCGGAGTTGGCTCTCTCCGTGACGGGTAGGCCTGTGCAGCTGATGCAAAGTCTGTATCTAGGTCCAGGTCCAACACACACGGACCAGGGGCTGCCATCCGGGCCTTGATCAAATGTGGCAAGGGACTGGACTTGGGAGGGGCGGGGCGGGATGGGGTAAGACGAATTACGGGCGTGTGAAGCAGATACCAGAGATAGACAGATAGTTCAGGAGAGTAAGACAAATGCTGCATCAGGAATATTTACTGACCAGTGGTGACTTGAGCAGTGGTAGTCTTGGCGGCGACGTGGCCAGCTAGGTTGCGAGACGAGTTACTAGCTCCTACGTCCAAAGAAGGCAGGAAAAAGGGGGGAAAACTACCTAACCGCCGGGTTGAAAGGAATGTCTTAAAGAAAGCAGGAAAAGAAAGGAAACCGTAGTAGAGAAGTGTAGAACTACAGGCGGCAAAGAGGGGAAGTGCATCTCTCGCGCCTGCCTGGCCATGCTACTCCCGGCCATTCTCTTCTAGCAACCCGCTGGGCAACATGCTGAACCCAGTTCCCCGCACCCTCACCACACGGCTCGCCCCATTCCAGTGAATTACGGCACTGTCCTTGAGTATCACGTCAACCGTAAACCCATCGACTTCTTCCCCTTGTCGCGCTGCCACCGCCGCCGCCGCAGACCTCCCCGTCACAATTCCGCAGCTCCAGGCCCGACTGGAAGCTGCCGTACAGGCCGAGCAGGAGAGCGAGCTGCGGGCACTGCGTGCGCTGTACGCCTCCGGCAGCCTGCGGCAATTGCAGCGGGAGGGCGTGGTCTTGGTGGGCCTTACGGCGGCGGAGGCGGGCCGGCTGTACCGATCCACATTGTGGCGGTTCAGCTGCATCGAGAAGAAGGGCACCGCCGCCGCCGCCGCGGCATTGCCGTACCATAAGCTTCGACCCGGCGCCAGCGTCATCATTACGGCGCATGCGGCAGCTAGCAGCGGCGGCGGAGGAGGTAGCGGATCTGCCGGAGCCGCCGCGCATGCCGCCGCGAGTGTTGATACAGAGACGGGGCTGCCTGCGGGCGGTGTGGAGGGAGTAGTCCTTGAGGTGAGGCGGTGGGAGGGGCCGAGTAAAGGGGAGCCGCCCTTAGTCGCCTTGGAGCGACGCAGCTCAGTTTTGGAGCTGTGGCCAACCCCCCCTGGGTCCTTGAAAGCTTCCGCCGCTGTCAGCTATTTCCGCCTTCAGGCACGCCGGCCCGCATGCATGACCCCGTCTGATGGCTCCCCCGTTTAAACCACGTCATCCGCACAATCCTTCCTGACCAAGATCCTATTCGTTGCTGTTGCTGCTCTGCTTTGTGACTGTACGGCAATCTGGACGGGGACGTACGGTATGCAAGGCCCACAAGGATCACCTCGTCGTTGCTCTGGAGGGCCGATCCCAAGAGGCCTTTCAGGTGTGCTGCTGTACGGTGTGATTGAATGTACGGACGAGGTTGTACGGCATCCGGTCTTACGCATCGGATTGTACACCACGGACGAGTGGGGCCGCTTGCTTCCGTGACTCTCGCCTGTGTAAAGCTGCCCACCTGCCACCTGCCACCTCCCACCTCCCACCTGCCAGCTTTCCAAAAACGCGTCCTCTGTTTACTACCCAGGTGACCGTATCTTTGTAGAACTGCAAACCTAGTTGAGAGCAACACGCCACGATAATATATTGAAGTACTTTCCCTCGTGAAGGAAACTGAAAGGAGACTGAAAGGAGTAATCAGCGAACAGCTGCGCTTTCCGCGCCCACATGCCGTCCCGCTGCCCCCTGCCTTCCAGTTCGTCGGCAGTCTTTTTTTTCGATTTCTGCACACGTTTTCCTCCCTTTTTCCTCGGCCCCGTTACCCCGGTCATGGATCAAACCCAAGTCTTGTCCCGCAAGCCTCATGCAACAACGCGTTGCTGTTGCCTTGCCACGCAGGCCATGGTTTCGGAGGTGGCCAGCAGCCGCAGTGCCGGCGGCGGCGCGGGCAGCGGTCGTCCTTTTGCTTCTGCTGCTACGGCGGCTTCTTTCTTAGGCTGGCGGCTGGACCAATCCGTCCGCGACACCACCAGCCGGCGGCACTTGGAGGGCATCAGGCGGCTAGGTGCTTGGGCGGAGCCGTCAGGTGGGCGGGCAGGGCACTGGCGTGCTGCACTTTATTAGGAAGTTCAATTATTAATTGATGAATTGAACTCGGAGCCTTCTTTCGCAGCCGGTTATTTCCATCACTGTAGTCGGTATGAGCCTTTCCTAGGCCGGGCGACCGGGGAACCGCATGGACTGAAGTCCCCGGGCGGGCTGCGCGACACCGGCCTGCGCTTCTTAACCGACATGCTGCCCTTGATACGCATGTCACCCTTTTTTCCACTCACACGTACACACGTATGCACACACATACGCGCGCGCGCGTGTATTCTTAACGCTTCCTTCCGCAGTTGTGGACCGGCTGGGTGAGGCACGTGTGCGGGCGGTACTGGCGGGGTCGCGATCGGCGTCCGTGCTGGCGGCAGAGGCCCCGGAGTGGGTCAAAGAGGTAGGCAGCAGCAGCAGGCGCAGCAGCAGCAGCAGCAAGAGGATTCGGATGTGTTGTGTTGTGTTGTGTTGTCCAAACGAGAGCTGCTGACGTCTGCTGCTCAGCGCATCCCGCCCAGGCATCCCCGCTGTCCTTTTCCCAACCGTGCTGTAAACCTGGCTTACGTTTGGTTCTATAACGCTTTGCCTTTTCAGGACATCACGACTGCTGCAGGCACCTTGGTTGACTTGGTCGCTTGGATGGGCGCATGCAGTAAAATGCTCTCCAGCAATTTACATGGTTGAATGGATGGTGTGTTTCCCTCTGTCTTCGGGTCCTCTCGCGTCTAGGGCCGCTGGCGTGAGGATGCGCGCGACGCCTTGGCAGCCCAGCAGGGCCTCAATGACTCGCAGCGCCGTGCCGTGGCGGCGGCCCTCACACGCACCGTCACCTTGTGGCAGGGCCCGCCGGGCACAGGAAAGACGCGCACGCTGCTGGCGCTGATAGAGGCAAGTGGGGGCGGCACAGCGCACAGTCAATCGGCCGGCCAGCCAGCCAGCTAACCCGTGTGGACAGCTGCGGGCGAGTTTCGGGTTGCTACGGATCGTTGTTGAAGACTGAAGGCGGGTCGGAAGCACGTGTAAGAGCCTATTTCGCCATTGTCCGCTTCTCTTTTCTGTTAAGGGTTTTCCTCCTCTTCATGGCTGCTAGATTCATGAACCTGTATCAAACCGTGTCAACTGACGTCTGTCCACATGCAGATTCTGGTTCGGGTGCGGAATGGGGGCCAGGGGGCAGCAACCCGAGCTCCTCGTGCCGCTGGCCGCAAAACCTCTTCCTCCTCTTCGTCGTCTGCCGGCGCGGCTGCCGCCGCTTCGCCACGTGCAGCAGCCATGGGCCCGGTGCTGGCGGTTGCGGATACCAATGCCGCGGTGGACAACCTGGTGGAGGGGTTGGCGACCCGGGGTGTGAAGGCGGTGCGATTGGGACCTGCAGCGAAGGTAGGATCGCACGGAGCCACCGACATGCCCTGCTGGCTTAGCGAGGCAGTCTTTGGGAGGTCAGGGAAAAGGGGAAGGGGGTAGACGGCGATAGCAAAACCACGTTTCACTAAAGCATATACCGTTGTGCATTATCTGTTACAGTTTTTAGTTCATTTTGGGATAGACGGGGGTTAGACGGAGCATGGGGTCCTGGGGTAGGCTGAAGACACAGCACGCGGAGGCACTTATGGGATTGTGCTAGGTGGTGTGTTGTGGCTGTGGAGTCGCGAGGTTCGGCAGAGCCATTTTTCCTCGCACCTGCGTGTGAAGTTGGATGGTAGGCTTTTTGTGGTACAGGAGAGACAGGGAGCAGCATTTAGTGCGGAATTCCATCTCTCCGTCCTTGCTCACCTCTCCATTCTTCTTAGGATGCTTGGGGCTTTAGGGTAGACCAGGCTGATCCGTCGGTCAGCCTGGCCTGGTACTCTAGAGGCACGTTCCGTTTCACGCTTTAATCACCTTTGTTTCGCGATTGCACATCCGCCATATGGAAGGCCTACTGCCCCGCCCTGGCACGCGAATTTGGAAGGCCTACTGCCCCGCCCTCGCAGCTTTCGCGTAAAGTAAATGGATTGCCCTTTCCGCGTTGCCCTTGCACGTCGCGTCATATGCTATCAACCTGCCCACACCAAGGCGCGAGAGTCCCTGCGGCATTTGAGCTTGGAGGCCCAGGCCGAGGCGACACCTCTGGGTCGAAAGGCGGTGCAGCTGCGGGCGCAGGCACTACGGAAGCAGGAGCTATGGCGGGAGGTGAGTATGGCGTCAGGTTTGAACAAATTCAAGCCTTCGCATCCGTAATTTATTGGTTCCGGCTTGTATGGGGATGAAAATGTGTCGTTTCCCTGTCAGCTTTGCAACAAACGTTTATTAGTGCCTTGATTTAGCAATACATAATGTACTAAAAACTACAAATTAAATGAAAACTCAAAATCCTCGTGTAAGCTAAATGCAATATGCAAGAAAAAAATTGATTAGAATATTGGTTTGTGGAGCTTACCGGGTTCGAACCGGTGACCTCACGCATGCAAAGCGCGCGCTCTACCACTGAGCTAAAACCCCTTATGATGTATAACTTAAAAGAACACAATAAAAAAATGCTGAAGAAATTCACGGTTGGCCAAACGCAGGCGCCTCGGTTGGGGGCGTCAGGTCTAGAAGCCGCTGCACAGGCCGCCGCCTCTGTCCAGATGGCCGAGGTGCGAGCTGACCTGGAACGCGCTGAGGCCGCGCTGCGAGAGGCGTCAGTTGCGGTTGTGGCTGCAGCGGAGGTTGTGGTGGCGACCTGTACGGCGGCCGGGGATTCCATTCTGGATGGCAGGTGAACGAGCGGAAGTGACGTGCACGTGAACCGCTTTGTGCACAAGTCCTTAGTTCCCGCCATACCCTCTTAACTAGCAAAACGACCGGCCATGCGTTTGCTATGTGTAATATGTGCAATTTCTTGGTGGTCGTGTCTGCAAAGTGTCATGTGGCATAGAAGAATTATCATAGGAATGCCATTAAGAAGCCATTAGCTGTGATGATCCGTGTCATAGTGTGGGTTGTTGGACCTGCGCAGGCCATGGCGCTGTGTGGTGGTCGATGAGGCCAGCCAGGCAACGGAGCCGTCAGTGCTGGTGGCTTTGACGCGCGGGTCAGCTTTCGTTGTGATGGCCGGAGATCCCCGTCAGCTGCCGCCCACCGTGCTGTCAGAGGCGGCACTGCAGCACGGCCTGAACGTCACGCTGTTCGAGCGGGTGTCTGCAACGGGAGGTGAGGTGTTTCCAGCCCCCATGCCTGGTGTTCTTGTACACGCTATGTGCGCCTCATTTCCTCCCACCCTAGCCTACCCTACCCTACCCAGTGACCCGCTCGTATCCCAACACCGACCCCTGTCTTATTGGTTTCCTCTTGTGCACAGGCGTATTGCCGCTGCTGCTAGACACGCAATACCGTATGCACCCCGCCATCTCCGCCTTCCCCTCCGCCTTCTTCTACGGCGGTCGGCTACATGACGGTGTGACAGCGGTGGACAAGCCTCTGCCCAAGGTGTGTGTGAGTGGGGGGAGGGTAATGGCCGGGCGGGCACCCGATGTCGATGTGCTTATAAGACTTTGGGGGATATCCTGCCGCGCTTGGATCCCTCCCTGGATGCGGGGCCTGAGGGAGAGGAGGAAGGGACGCGGTGCTGCTAGGCGAGCTAGGCGAGCCCTAGACGGCCTAGATTTGGTCGGGATGTGGACCCAACAGCACGCGGGGAGGCTTCGACGCGCTGTCAAGGTCAATCGAGTCATAATGGTATACGGGGCCGAGGCCAGGGAGGGGAATCCAAAGCTCGACTGACACACAAAGCGTCGGGTAAGCTGCGAAAAGGTGGGGTGGGAGGAGCAGGCATGGCATGGCCGCACCTGCCGCACCTGCAAGTTTGACCTGTAGCTGCCTAGCGTGGTGTCATGTTTCCTACGGAGTCCATGACACAAGGCCTTTACGCCTGGACCTCCGCCCAGCCCGAGGCCCCCTCTAAATCTAATTAAATACGTGGCGTACGTTACCTTTCTCAGGATTCGGGACGTGGAAACCAAGTGCGCTTCTTGTTGTTGTTGTTATTGCAGCTTGCTATTATTACGCTTCTTGTTATCCATGGCACCCATCAGGGTTTCCCATGGCCCAACGCCGCGAAGCCTCTAGCACTGGTGCAAGTGACTGGCGGACGAGAGGAGACCTCCGGCGGCATTGCCGAGATATCGACTGCTACTTTAGCTAGCAATAGCAGTAGCAGTAGCGGTGAGGCAGCTGGTGGTGCTTTGCTACGGCGAAAAGGAGCCGGCAGCGGTAAGAGCGGTAAGAGAAAGGGCCCCGAAGCTGCTGGTGATGCTGCTGGTGGTGATGCTGATCCTGTGGCGGCGGCGGCAACGTTGCCCAAGTCCAGTGACAGGGCGTCGTACCGCAATCCCGCTGAGGCGCTGCTGGCTCTGGCGGTGACGCAGCAGCTCCTGGCGGCCGGTGAGGGTCGTAGGGTCATGGGGGGTGGGGGGGTAGGGGGGCCTGGCTGACCTAGGCTGGCTTGCTTGAAGAGAGCGGAATATAGGGGCGCCCTGCTGCCCGATGTTTTTGGTCTTACCCTTCGACCTGTTGTGCAAGTGACAAAGGGAAACACCTTGCGCTCTTACGGATTTTCTATGACGTGCGACATGGCGAGGGGCCGGTGGGTATACACAGCACCGCGTTTCCTGTTTGGACGCATTGCCCTGCCCTGCCCTGCCTTACCTGGCTTTGAGGGATGTGTGGGATCAGAGCAGCACTCACCTGTGGACAGCAGCACGACCCGAACCAAACATACATTCATTGTTGCCACTTTGGCATCTCTCCGTTGTCGCAGGTGACGTGACCAGTGCGGCCATCCTGACGCCGTACCGAGGCCAGGTGGGGCCCCCGCGTATCGTACCGGCGTAAGAGAGTTATGGGGGATTTCCTTACAGCACATACACAGAGGCTCAGAGCTAGAGAAGTCGGATTGCGGCCGTACAGGGGAGTGTAAAGGTGTTGCTACTGCGACTGCTGTTGCGCCACTACTGCTGCTGTTGTCCTTCACATCCATATCCGAGACTTTCACGTGTTGCCTGAACAAGCCCGCTCAAGTACACGCCTAACTCATCCCCGTTCTGTTATCGCTGTTATCGTGCTGTTCATTGCGACATGGTGTTGCAGGTTCGGCTGATTGAATCCCTCTGCCGGCAGCGCGGCTTGGAGGCGGCTTGGTCGGCTGCGGGGCTGGAGGTGGCGGTGTCCACTGTGGATGGCTACCAGGGCCGGGAGGCGGATGTGGTGGTGTTCTCAGCCGTCAGGTGGGTGCGGAGGAAGGGAAGAGGAGGGGATGCGCGGAGGAGGGCAAAGTTAAGACTGTTTAGCTGAATGGGGTCCGTCTTCATTAACCCTTGCAAGAACAATGGAACTCTTTACTTAAAAAGGGGTTTAGGGTTTCGCATGGTCCTACGTCCTTTGTATGATGTATGGAACAGGGGTTTATATCTTCACCCGTGGCAGCTACCCTGCGAAACCCTGCCTTCCCCGGTATTTCGGGGCACCCTCATCCAGTCACCCTAGTCAACTTCTCAGTGGATCGCTCAGGTTCGCACCCAACACCAGCATCCAACGGAATCTGCCGGATCGACGACGGCCCAACTCCATTCCTGGTCGGCGCGCAGGTTAACTTTATCCCAGGTCACCACCGTCCATCAACTAAGGGCACTTTACCTTCCACCATGGGAAGGATTTTCGACCCTGACAGGTCTCGCTCCCGGGATCTCCCCGGGGCAATGGTTGTGTATGTTCACTTTTTATTCCTTTGTATGTTCGCTTTTTTTGCATGCTTGGCACGTTTCGTAACTCGTATGGACAGGTGACCCAGCGTTACATCGTGTTGAGCATCGTTGACAGTTTGTCGTTTGGTGGCTGGTGCAGGGCCAACGACCGCGGCGCTGTCGGCTTCCTTTCCGACCCGCGCCGTATGAATGTGGCCATCACGCGGCCGCGGCGGGGCCTGGTCGTGCTGGCGGACACGGGCACCCTGACCCGCGGGTCGGCTGACTGGGGCGTGTACGTCAAGTGGGCGCGAGGGCAGGTACACACACATAGCTATCATGCCGTGCAAACTCTAGCCATATCCTGAAGCGGAAAGGCTCTGCCGCGTCATTGCTGCTTATAGGGGCGAGATCTCCGAGGGCGCGGGGAAGGGCCGGGGCAGCAGATGTAGCTTTGTGCGGGCCGCACCTGCCTATTGTGAAGGTCGCTATAGCAGATTTGGCACGCAATGAGGCAAGAAAACGAGATGTCGTCGTTGGCAAGCCTTTGTGCCGTCGCTCTTGTCCTCACGTTGTGTTTACAGGGCATCGTTGTACCTGATGAGGACGTGGTCGACGTCAAGGCGGTGCTTAGCGACATTGAAGCGGTACAAACTGAAAGCGACA